TAAACCCCCAAACCCTGAACCTGCAACTCAGCCTTCTACATAGCAGCACAGGTGCTCATGAGCCCAACACCATAAGTTGCGAGCCCGAGCTTTAAACCTAGACCCTATAAATGCCTAAACCCTGGACCCTACCACCCTAAAGCATGGAGAATAATTGCCCTGTAAGCTGTTTTTAAAGATTCGGGGCTATTATTTTACCTACTTTGGGGTCTAGGTAAACCCATAAACACTAATCTTTAAACCCTGAACCCTACACCCGAAACTTTCAAAAACTTTGGCCACTACACCCTGCAACCCAGGCGCTGCCGCTAGGATACCAAAGCCTCCTCCGCTGGAGTAATCGAGATTAGGCCCATTCCATGATGCTCAGCCTGGGGTTTAGGGTTTAGGCTTCAGCCCCCCTTGAGTAGATAGAATATGGGGTTTAGGGTTTAGGCTGTAAGGTTCATAGTCCCCCTTAAGTAGATCGACGATAGCTTGGGGTATATCATGATAAGATCCTCATATACCCCATGTTCTATCTACTTAAGGGGGACTATAGCTAGACAATTGAAACCCTAGACCCTAAACCCTAAACCCTAAGCCCTAAGCCCTAGAATTATATAATGGAAAAAGAAATGGAAAGTACGATTTACGGCGTAGGGTTTAGGGCCCATTTCATGATGTTCAACCATCAGGCTTGACTGGGTTGCTTTTGGAACCCGAACGAAGTTAACATAATGGGTATATAGAATACATAATGGGATTTCCCCCAGTATAGTAACTTAAATTACGTTCCTACAGGCTTAGGATTGTATAGTTTAGGGTTTAGGGTTTTGGGGTTTAGAGTTTAGGGTTCAGGGTTTGAGGTCTGTGGTGCCGGGTTCAGGCATTACATAGGTTAGGGTTTAGGGTTTGGGGTTTCCTTTAGACCTTGGAGATTGATGCTCCGGATTGTAGACGATCTCCGGCTTTAAAAGGAGGTTTAGGGCTTAGAGGTTAGGGATTTATGTTCATTATGTGAACTTTCCTGGTGCCTGCCCAGCCCTAGAAAGCCTTAAACCCTAAACCTTAAACCCTAAACCCTTACACCCTAACCCTAGGAATGAAATTCAACCTGGGTGATTGGGGAATCAGAGTTCTACTTCTCCTATTCTCAGTATTCTTGTGATTCGTGTTAGGGGCTTAGGGTTTAGGGTTGAGGGTTTGGGGTTTAGGGATTAGGGTTGAATTTTTTAGGGTTTAGGATTGAGGGTTTGGGGTTTAGGGTATGGCTTTTCTGCTTATCAACCCTCTTTCTATCATGTAGCTTTCTCATGATGGATATACGGTCCATTTCATGATGTTCTGCCTGGGAGTTTCTCAAGCGATTTCGGGTTGCAAATTGTGAGCCCTCCAATTTGGGGGCGGGGGCTTGGAGTTTACCCTAAACCCTAAACCCTGAACCCCAAACCCTAAAACGTGTTTGCGGTTGTGATGTTTCGCTATTCGACTGACCGTGTTTGGAATTTTTGGTCAACATGTTGGTTCCTTCTTTTGGTCGCCAGCAATTGTTGACAACCTTCCGTTTGGAGTTTAGAGTTTAGGGTTTAGGGTTCGGGGGTTCAAGTGTCAGGTTCTTGGGGCTTGAAAATGTGGGACGACTTTGAGGAGCCAGGGGTTACATATGAGGATTCTAAATCCCTTGTAAGTTGAAGATCCCACAGACCAAAAACGTAAACCCTAAAATCATGTTCCTTTGAACGCTTGATGAACGCTACTGGCCGACCCTACACTAAGATGCATAGAGCTAGGTGTCCTGATCTTAAACCTTCATGTTCAGGGCGTCGAGTTGCATTGGGAGTTGCTGCAAATGACTCGCAGAGGCGCTGTGACATGCCCTCTACAGTCCAAAGCCCTTCTAAACACTAAACCCAAAACCTTTTGTAAAGCTAGTCTTAAGGCTCATAGGATTTAGGGCTTAGGGTTCAAACATTTGTGACCTTTGTGACTAATGCAGAATCTGCATTCATCTAGACGGAGAACGCCCTGTTATGAGAAAGGCGCAAGTGAGCGAATGTACTGCTGCTTCAAAAGAGTTTGTGTTTCTACTGTTAACGCTGAATACCTACACGACCTTACTATACTATAGTTTTATACTTCTACGAAGTACCGAGGGCCATGCAGGACTATGAATATCCACTGACTTATCCGCAACCTCACATGCGAGATTTGGGGCAAGGCACTCTTGTTGAGAACTAGGAACCGTATGCCACTTCTACACGCAGTTCGGGGGCACACTTTCTAAACTTATGGCCTACTTCTCAAAAACATATCTCTGAATTCTGCTAGCCCTAAACCCTAAATCTTAAACCCAGGTTTGCAAAGGAACAATGACCGGGTTGCATTAAGATCCAGCGATGCTACACAAGCGTTGAGCGTTTGGGATGGTCTTTATGGTTTAGGGGGGTTTGGGGTTTTAGGGTTTAGGGGTGTAGAGTTTAAGGGTCTAGGGATTAGGGTTTAGGGGCTTAGGGTTTAGGGTTTGTATCCGAGTAAAACCTCAGGCTATCCAACTATAGACATGCACTTGCAGGAGCTGCCCTAAGCCCCTAAAGCCCTGAACCCCGAACCCCAAACCCTGAACCCTGAGCCCCTTAACCCCCTTAGACCCTAAAACTCGAAAGGCTCAGCTCCATAAGCACCCTAAACCCAAATAGTTAATTTCCATCAGCATGAAGGACTATATGAGCTATAGTCTAAACCCTTTGTAAGCCCCGTAGTAGGCACCCTGCATAATCCCCTAAAGGCCCTAAATAACATTTTGCCTACTTTGGGGGTTTAGGATATGACTTCTGAGGGATTTGAATGCAAGCCCAGTTCCTACAGTGGCTCTTAGGGGTTTAGGGTACAGGGTAGGGTTTAGGGTTTAGGGCTTAGGGGCGAAGGCAAGGATTCGCTGATCTCCTCCAAAAGGAAGTCTTCGTAGGGCCTGTCCAACAGGTCCTGAAAGTTCTGGGCATGCTTGGCCTTGACGAAGTCGTATTCGCCCAGGTCGTTGAATGCCTTCCGTCCAAACCCAGAGGGTCCAAGTACCCTATAATTAGGTACTTGGGTTTTGGGTAATAGTAGTTGTAGCATCAGTTTTGGTTATGTATATGATTATTAGGTACTTGGACCCTTAGGGAAAGTGAGAGAGGAAGTTTCTGCGGGAGCCTTCCAGCTCACTCCAGCGCTTTGTATTTTTCTCCTGGACGAGCCAAGACGAGAAAGGTTCGCGCAAGGAGCAATCGAACACGTTGTCACCATTCTCGAGTGTGAGTATTAGGAGTTTAGGGGCTTAGGGTTTAAGGTTTAGGGTTTCGGGGCTTTGGGTTTAGGGTTTAGGGTCTTTGGGTTTAGGAACTTTGGGTTTAGGGTTTAGGGTTTAGAGCTTCCTGGTCCGTGGCTCTAAGGAGTCTAGGGGTTTCGGGGTTCCGGGGCTTTGGGATTAGGGTTTAAGTCTCAGGTGTCTCGGGGCTTAGGGGCTTTAAGGGTTTATAGGGTTTAGGGTTTAGGGGCTTTGGGATGGGTACGATAAGTTTATATGAGCCCTAGTCTAAACTCCTAGAATCCTCCCTTA